TGTGAGTGCCGCCAAAGGAAAACCTGTTATCGGGTTTTCCATTATATCTTGTACCAGACACAATTTATCTAATTATTAAAAACCCGATGACAGGTTTTCCTTTGGCGGCACTCATATATTACCAATATGCAAATTGATGTTATTTTTTTTCTCTTGCCGATATACAAATTGATGTTATTTTTTTCTCTTGCCGATATGCAAATTAATGTTATTTTTTTCTCTTGCCGATATGCAAATTAATGTTATTTTTTTTCTCTTGCCAATATGCAAATTGATATTATTTTTTTCTTTTGATTTTCTTTTTTTTTGTTACTTTTTTGTTCCTTTATATTTTCTAGTTATAATTTTGGCTTCTATTGTGTATCAATATAATTTGCAATAGATAAGACGTGTTCCATTGCAGAGTCCTTCATTTGGGTTGAGGTTTCTAAGGAGTATTATCGGAGCACCTACTTTTAATTGTAGTTTATAAGGAGGAAATCCATTAATGTTAATAGAATTGAGAAATTCAACTGGATATAGATGGGTTTGGTCATTTTCTTCCTGGTTTGTCAAGGAATTTGCGCTAAGATAGATTACTATATTATTATCTGAAAAGGAGTTTAGAATTTTATCATTAATCATATCTATATTAGAATTTGTAGGTGCAAGAATTCCGCGTTCTACGAAGTAGTTCTCATCTTGAATATGAGAGTTTATATTAGGATATACAAAATTTATAAGATCTTGTATAGAGGCAGAGGTAAATATAATATCATCAGGGAGTTCTATAGTATCAGTTTCTTTATCCTTGTATGGGATTTTACCTGTAGAAGCCAGTTAGCAAAATTATTTTGTTCATTAGTATCTATATTGGTATTAGTTTGAGTTAGGCGCATGTTGATTCAGAGATGCATAATTTGTACATGTTGCCATATTGAAGAACGACAAAGTGAAGCAGAAATTATTTTATTATGATTAGCTTTGGGTATGACAGGGAGTATTTGTCGAAAGTCTCTTTCTAAAACTATTGTTTTTCCTCCGAAGGGTTGATTTTTAAAGTTATTGTCAGTCGATTTCATTATGTCACATATAGTTCTGTCTAAAGTTCGAATACATATTTATGGGTCATTGGGGCTTCATCCCATATTATTAGTTTTGTTAGTTTAATAAGGGCAGCTAGGTTACTGTTCTGAGATATATTGCATATTGAATTTTTGTCAGGGTAAAGAGAGATTTTAAAACAGGAATGTGCTGTCCTGCCACCTTGTAGTAGTAGTGATGCTATGCCGGATGATGCGACTGTGAGGGCGATTTGACCTTTAGAACATACTGCTATTAGTAGAGTGTTGTATAAGAATGTTTTATCTGTACCCCCAGGACTATCTATAAAAAAGATTTTTGCCAGTGAATTATTTATTGTATTCATTACAGTGTTAAATATAGTGCGTTGATCTGAGTTTAGTTGTTGTAGGTATATATTTAATTGGTTACTTAGTATATTTTTGTCATAGGAGAGTTCTTCTTCTATTAATCGGTTTGTGCGAATTGGGGTTGTTTCTTTAGAAATGGGCATTGAAAGAAAGTTTAAGAGTGATTTATTATGTTGAAAAAGGATTGATTGTAGGTGGTTAAGTCAATATTGTTTAGTGTTTCGATAGTTGGTCCTGGGGTTTTATGATTGGGTAGGTGTTTTAAATCATCTGTTAGTAAAATTAAGTTATTATTCCATAGGCGTACAGGATTTGTAGGATTACAAAAAAGAAGAATTGTTGCAAAAAGAATACGCAAGCATGTGCCTGATTTTATAGATATAGCTTTTTGGAGACATTCCTCCTATTTATTATTTTCTTGTAAAAGGCCTAATGCGTGGTATGCATCTTTGAATATTTCATAAGTTTTTCCATTTATTGTTCGAAGATTTTCAAATGATATTGCTCCAGGTATTACAGGTCGAATGTATGACTATCGGGATATGCCTATATAATCCTATTATTATACTGATATGAATATCGGGCTAATTTA